GCAGGCTGAGGCTGAGGCTGAGGCTCATCGCGAATGCGACTACGACTCCGAGAACAGCAGAACTCTACAACTGGATTCTCATCTGAATCTTAAGGGGGATGCTTCCAGATATGCTCCTACACATCGCTGTTAGGTTGCTTTGCCGGGATAATTTCTGACTCACTGGCACCAACGGCGCAAAGATGTCGAAGCCCCGAGAATCATCCAACCGAAGTGACTGTGCAGAGGAACCGAACTATGCTACAATGGGCTTCAGCCCCGGCAATGTCCAGCAATCACGCCGACATCGCAAGATAAACCGCCAGAAGTTCGATTCAACCATATTCAACCAACCAGTCCAGAGACTGCCCTCATGTCTGCGCAAAAATATCATGCATCAGCGAAGATTGAACCAGTTCCTCGGAAGCATGACCAAATGCGAATGCAAATGTGGCTCAAACGGAGCGTCTGATCGGAGGACGAGCCAGTGAGCGAGCTCGAGTGCGGGCAGGCCGCCGAGGTCACCCCGTTGAGGTGCCTCTTCCAGTACCCCTGCCGCCGCCTCCCTAGCCCCTCCCACCTCCCACATCGGTCGCGCGGCCGCGCTCAGGCCCACGCTGCAGCGAGGACGCACATCATCGCCGAGACAAAGGATACGACGTCGCGACTCGCGAGACTGGCGGTAGTACCGACGTAGTCCCCGCACGTGAAGGCGTTGGTTGGCGCCGGAGTCGGTGCGTAGGTCGGAGGCATCGGCGTCGGCGCGTAAGTCGGAGGCGCTGGCGTCGGCGCGGCCGTCGGCATCGGCGTCGGCGCGTAAGTCGGCGGCACCGGCGTCGGCGCGTAGGTCGGAGGCATCGGCGTCGGCGCGTAGGTCGGAGGCGCGGCCGTCGGCGCGGCCGTCGGCGCGGCCGTCGGCGCGTAGGTCGGCGGCACCGGCGTCGGCGCGGCTGTCGGCGCCGCCGTGGGCGCGCCCGTCGGAGCGGTCGTCGGCGCGGCCGTCGGCGCGTAGGTCGGCGGCACCGGCGTCGGCGCAGCCGTCGGCGCGGCAGTCGGAGGGGCCGTCGGCGCAGTCGTCGGCGCGGCCGTGGGCGCGGCCGTCGGCGGCATCGGCGTCGGTGCGGCCGTCGGCGCGGCCGTCGGAGCGGCCGTCGGCGCAGCCGTCGGCGCGGCCGTCGGTGCGTAGGTCGGAGGCATCGGCGTCGGTGCGTAGGTCGGGGGCATCGGCGTCGGTGCGGCCGTCGGCACCGCCGTCGGCGCGTAGGTCGGAGGCATCGGCGTCGGCGCGTAGGTCGGAGGCGCTGGCGTCGGCGCGTAGGTCGGAGGCGCTGGCGTCGGCGCGGCCGTCGGAGGCATCGGCGTCGGAGCGGCCGTCGGCGCCGCCGTCCCATCCATGCAACACACATCCTGACTGCAGTCGGACTGAGACGCACCGCACACAGCAGTTGCCTGGAGCAGCATGTCACCGCAAGGATAATCGGCTGCGGCCGTCGAAACGAGGGCCAGGAAAACAGCGAGGCGATTGATCAGAGCCATTGCACGGCAGAATTCCTTCGTCAGAATATCAGAGACAGCAAGCTCGCGCCAAAACGCCTTCAGCTAAAATGGCTTGAGCCAAAATGGCTACGGACCGCAAGTGGGTCCATCTTGGGTGTCTCTTGAGCCGTTCCCAGCCCCTCGGCCCTGTGGGAGTCTTGGGGCCTCCAGCGCTGCCTTGGACGGCTCGTGGGGCTGTGTTGGGATGATTTGGGGGGCCTGGCGCGCTGCCTTGGGGCCATCTTTGGGCCCCCGTCAAACCCCTTCGGGTACATTCTTGGGGCGTATCGGGGCCCTCTTGGGCCGTCTTGGGCCCTTCTTGAGCCGTCCTGAACGAGTTTGGAGCCCGCTGGAACGCCTTTAGGTCTTATTGGGAAGACTGTGAGGGACTCTTTGGCCCGCGTGGGCGCTCTGGAAATCGACAAGGCGAACGTGCAAATGTTAGCCAGCGTGGATCCCAAACAGTTTTGATTCGCGGGTCGAGAGCGAGCCTCTGCCGGTCGAAGCTAAGCGGGCCGCGCACAGCTTTAATTACAGAGGAAGGGAAAAAGAAGACGGGGCCTCACGTGGATCCCAACCAGTGCGTTCGTGCGATGTGGAAGTTAGAGCTGTGCGGAATAAACCATGCGGTGTTAGCCGTGTTCTGATACAGTCAAAACGTGTATTAAGGACGGATGGTAAGGACGCAACACCCTTGGAGGCCGAAGTCGGGATTTTGTGGGCTGCGGGCGACCAGTGAAGACGGCAAAGGACGGGCCGCAGAGGCAAGGACGCAAGGGTACCCTAGACGGCGGCGCGCGTCCTTACTATGCGCGTTGACTGTAGCCGTGTTCTGATACTGCAGGTCCGTACCGTGTCGACCCTGGCGTTGGTTCCTGACACCGCGCTGGATCGTTCAACCTTGAACGATCGGCCGTCTCCGCAACGTCCGATCGTTCAACATCGACCGATTCTGGGCCGCCGTCGGCGTTCAACGTTGAACGTCGGCGGCGGGGTCGCCGCCGGTCGGCACGACGCGATCCTGCCGTAGCTGCGTCACCCGACCTGAGGGCACGGGCAGCCCACGAGGCACCCACGGGCGGGCGCCGGGCGAAGCCTCGGCGGGCCCGCCCGGGGCAGTGGGGGCGCCCACAGAGGGCGCCGAGAGGGCGCCAGCGGGAGGACACCGGGCGGGAGGCGAGGCCTCCGCGGACCCACGCGAGGCAGTGGCCGCCCACGAGGCGCCCACGAGAGCCCGCGGGCGGGAAAGCGGAAGAGCATCGGCGGCCTGTCCCATGACTCGCGTGAGCCGGGTAAAAAAAAAGAAGAAACAAAAACAGAGTGCAAACACTGTGTAAGGGGAGACTGACACACACATAGGCAGACACAGACACAGAAAAAACAGAATGCAAACACTGTGTAAGGGGAGACGGATACACACACACAGACAGACACAGACACAGGCACAGACACACACACACACACACACACACACAGACACGCGCACACACACACACACAGACACACACGCACGATTGAAAATCAATGATGTTTGCCGCTCTGCGGCTTCTTGGGGGTCCTCTAGGAGCCCCCTTGGGCCGTCTTGGAAGCCCGCTTGGCCGACGGCTGGCCATCGTGGGGTAATATTGGGCCGTCTTTGGCCCTTGCTGGCTGTCTTTCGGGGCTCTTGGCGGCCTAGGACCTTCTGACGCCATCTGTGGCCGTCTTGGGGTCATCTGGAGCCGTCGTGGGCTCATCTGGGGCGCTCGGTACCCAAACTTCCCCACTGGTACACGAGTTTCGCCGCAGCATATTCTAAAGAAAAAGGGGGCCGATCGTATCAATACATCTATCTACATCCGCCACCGTGCCGCAAACGCTGAACAGAAAGTCCTCAGGTCCTTCTGATATCTTCATAGAATATCTGGTGATTGCGAATACTCGTGAAAGGGCCCAGACCCCCAATTGCCAGACTTGCTGGGGCTTGTCGCGTGCCTTCTGGGGCCGGGCGCACGACTTACCAGGGCCAGAGAGCGTGCACATTGGCCAGGAGGGTCCCGAGAGGGCCCCAAGGCGGTCCCAGAGTGTCCCGAGACAGCCCAACAGCGCCGCAAGGCGCCCGAGATGGCCTCAAGATGGACCAAGATGGCCCCCTCCTCCTCCTCCTCCTCCTCGTCCTCGTCCTCGTCCTCGTCCTCCTCCTCCTCCTCCTCCTCCAAAATGGAGGAGACGCTCCAAAATGGTCCCAAGATGGTTCCATCTGATACCCAAAATGGCGCCAGTAGGCAGAACTCTTTGTCTTGTCGGTGTCTGAATGATGTCAGTACGTCTCGCCTGCTCGAGCACCACGCCGACCATGACGGCTCAAGACGCCTCCGACATCGCTCACGAGACGGCCCAAGAGGCCCCCAAGAGAGCCCCAAGACGGCCAGCGAAGCCACCGAGACGGCCCAAGAAGCTGCCAAGACTGTCTCACGAGGGGCCCACGAGGGGAAACTCGAACTGAACACGCGGAATGCCTGAAACTTCGAGCAAGTTCACTGATGGAAAGCGGTCCGTTTTCAGAACGCGGCTGCTGCCATGGCGACAGCCACACTCGTCTCTAAAGCATCGAACAGTTTCATGGCTGGAGGGCGGCTCTTTTTCAAAATGGGCCTCTCGCCTTGGCGCCGCACACGCTTATCTTGACCATGTGCAGCAGTTACACGGGTTGGGGGTGGACCGTCCCCAACATCGGGCTGCCGCCTGAGACTTTGTCGGCGCCAGCTACTGCGAGTACAACGCTACATGACAGATGTACGGATGGAAAGCTGTCCCTTTGTGCAAAATTGGGTGATCTCGCTGAACGTTACTGCAAAAATCCAAGAGTCGAAACGCCGCTGTGCCACAATTCCGCGATCGGAGGGGTCCTTCGACCGCGAAGCTGACGAGAGCGCGACTCCTCTCGAGGCGCGGCTGCCGCTGGGCGCCCGACTTTTCGCCTGAGCATGGGTCGCCTTTGTCGCCTCGGGTACTGTATGACCCCGCCTCCTCGCACGGAGCACAGACCGCTCGAAGAACGAGCCCCCGCCCGAGCCGACGGGGCGCCCGCCTCTCGAGGGGGGGGGCCTGGCGCGGGGACATAAAACGATAGGGACTACCGATGAGGAGGGTCAGAACACGAGGGTGCATGTAGCACCGCTGGTACATCTTGCACGTACTCTGGTCACTCGTGCCCAAGCATCGTCCTCGCCCTGCCACGCTCCCAAGAGACCCCACAAAATCCTGTTCAGAGGCCTCCGAGAGCCTTCCAAAGAGACCCCAAGAGGCATCCCGGAGGACTCGGGCCCACCTCAGCGTCGTCGTCGTCACCGCCGCCACCGCCGCCGTCGTCGTCGACGTCCCCCTTCAGGGTCGGCGGCACCGGCCGTCATGAAATCTGGGGAGATATCATGGCCCCAGCCGTGACATCCACCACCCTGCGTAGTCACCACCGCCCTCTTGGACGCCCCCGATGGAAGAAGGGCCTGCGATCCCGTTGACGGCGACGATCCGGTCCCCGCGCTGGACCTTCTTGTCGGGGTGGTCCGCGTTCCACCTGAGACCGGGGGCCAGCGTCCATTTGCTCCTCCAGCTCCGCCTGCTCCACTGCTCAACTTGCTCCATCCATCCCTGCTCCTCCGCCTGGTCCTCCTTTCTCCTCCTCCTCCTCCTCCTCTTCCTCCTCCTTTCTCCTCCTCCTCCTTCTCCTCCTTTTCCTCCTCCTCCTGTTCCTTTTCGCCCTCCAACCCCCGCGCCCTCCCTCTCATTCACCCCCACCTCTTTCACCTCCACCCGGCCATCCTCCTGCCACCCCCCAATCCTGCATCCCTCCCTCCCTCCTCCCTCCCTTTTCCTGCTCCTCCCGTCCGCCCGCCTGCCCAGACCTCCAACGCATCGGCCAAACAACGAGGTTGCCCGCCTCCACGAGCCCTATCCCGGCCCCAGGACCAACGACAACGACTCAGGATGAAAAGCTGGCCCTGGGGAACGGGTCAAGACTTGAAGGGACCCCGCAGCGTAACACAACACAGCAACAACAACAACAACAACAATAATTTTACCCTCATGCGCCATGCTTCCACATGACACATGCATCCATCTGGAGAACACACCCCATCATGGGGGATTTTTCTGGCATGCGGGATCCGATATTCCCTCACCCAGATATCCCGCCCAAGAAGGTTTGGCCACCACCTCTTCCGAGGAACTTCAACATCCATAGCTCGGACGGCACATCGCCTTCGCAATCGCCTTGCGCATGCCCCGCATCTCAGAGGGAGAGGAAGAGGAAGAGGAGGGGGAGATGAGAGAGATAGGGAGGGGGAGGAGGAGAAGGGAGGGGGAGGAGGGGGAGGAAGGATGAGCAGTTGTAGTAGCAGCAGTTGATGATATTGTTGTTGCGGCTGTAGCACTAGTAGTAGTGGTAACGGTAGTAGTAGTCCAAGTAAGTAGAACTGGCTTGTGGCAGCCAAGCGTTCATAGCGACGTTGCTTTTTGATCCTCCTTTAATGTCTTCTCTCCCTATCCTTGAGACGCAAAAGTCTCAAAAAGTTGGATGGTTCAGCACATCCAGGAAACCTATCGCTGGACCGGCCCAGATATGGTTCCAGAAGCGGCTCGGGAAGCTGCGCAGGCGCCAGAAGCAGAGAAGCACCACGTACGGGCGCCGGCTCGGGCGTCCGGCCCACAGCCGCTCCAGAATCGGCCCAGGACGGCTTCCCGGGCGCCGCAAGCAGAAATTCAGCATTTTCGAAAGAAAAATGTGTATTGGAATGGCCTCTTTTCGGCGCGATCGGAACTGCCCGGGCGTCCGGCCCGGGAGCCGGGCCGGGTGCCGGCCAGGCCGGGTGCCGGCCCGAGCTCCGGAATCGGCCCGGACGGCCTCCCGGGCGCCGGAAGCAGAAATTCAGCATTTTCGAAAGAAAAATGTGTATTGGAATGGCCTTTTTTCGGCGCCGCCTCGGAACTCGATTTTCCGGCGCCCGGGCGCCGGCTCGGGCGCCGACCCGGGCGTCCGGCCCGGGAGCCGGGCCGGGTGCCGGCCCGAGCTCCGGAATCGGCCCGGACGGCTTGCTTCCCGGGCGCCGGAAACAGAAATTCAGCATTTTCGAAGGAAAAATGTGTATTGGAATGGCCTTTTGTTCGGCGCCGCCTCGGAACTCGATTTTCTGGCGCCCGGGCGCCGGCTCGGGCGCCGACCCGGGCGTCCGGCCCGGGAGCCGGGCCGGGTGCCGGCCCGAGCTCCGGAATCGGCCCGGACGGCCTCCCTCCCGGGCGCCGGAAGCAGAAATTCAGCATTTTCGAAAGAAAAATGTGTATTGGAATGGCCTTTTTTCGGCGCCGCCTCGGAACTCGATTTTCCGGCGCCCGGGCGCCGGCTCGGGCGCCGACCCGGGCGTCCGGCCCGGGAGCCGCTCTCGGCGGCGAGCAAGAGCACCGAGCCCGAGTAAAAAAGGAGGAAGTCTCGAGCCGGAGCGTTGTTGTTGTTGGGGGGCCGGTTTTGGCGGAACCCCAAAACGCCTGAGCGTGAGCCTCAATTTCAGAGGAAATGCGGCCGGCGCCTCGGCGAGAGCGCCAGGGCGAATATAGGGGGTCCAACAATAATAATTGTTTAGTAATTAAGGTTCTACAACAACAACAACAACAACAGCAGCAGCAGCAGCAGCAGCAGCAGCAACAACAACAACAACAACAAAGCATTGGATCTCTGGGAACTGCTCCATCCCTTCCCCTGCCGCCCTCTCTGCAACCATCCATCCATCCCTCAGCCCATCAACCTCCTGCTCACCCTCCTGAACTTGATATCACTCCGTCTCGTAATCGTCCTCCCGTACACATCCCCCTCCTCCACATCCCTCCCCACATCTTGCCGATTCCTCATCCTCATCCTCCTGCTCCTCCTCCCCCTCCTCCTCCTCCTCAGGCTCCTCTGGCTTCTCCTCCCCGTCCGCCTCCTCCTCCTCCTCCTCCAACTGACTCTCCCTTGCCTCTCTTCCTTCCCACTCCTCCCAATCGCTCTTCTCCTCCTCCTGCTCCTCCTGCTCCTGCTCCTGCTCCTGCTCCTCCTCCTCCTCCTCCTCCTCCTCCTCCTCCTCCTCCTCCTCCTCCTCCTCCTCCTCCTCCTCCTCCTTCCCTCCCCCATCGCCTTTTCCAGCTGGGCGGCAGCAGCAGGATGGGCGGGGGCAACGGCGGCGGCGAGAGCAGTGGCGGCGCCGGTCTCGGCCACGATCTGCAAGGACAGGGAGCACGTTGCCTCCTGCAAGTGTCGCCCACGCCTCGCCCCGGGCGAAGCGGACGAAGCGCGCCAGCCTCGACCGAGACGTGCAACGTTCCTGGGACAGATCGATCGGGGCTGAGTGGTAGGTCGCATGGCCAAAAGGTGTCTCCAGCTTCCCGCTCCATCTTTCAGCTCCCAAGTCCCTCTGGGCCTCGTGAGGGGTGCTCCGGAGGCCGCAAGGGCCTCGTTGCGAATCCTGCGGGCGCGTTAGCCAACCTACACCTCTGGCAACGCCCGGATCGAAACCGTGTGCTTCTCGCGGTTCCTGGCAACCCGGGGCCATGACCAGGGGAAACATATTTTTTTTGCGTACGCTCCAGACTGTGTCACGAGAGCGCTTCTCCATCAAATTAATGTGACGCACTTTTTGAAACAGCAGCAAACATGTACGCGTTTTAGTGCGCAACTATAGGCAGACAGGCCCGGGTGCGTACCGCACCAAGGCAGGCCTGTCAGGAACGGCCCTACTTATTCGCCATTTCGGCGCTCGCCACGCAAAAAGACGAGAAAGAGTAGCAGCAGCAGCCTGGAGGATTGGAGGCTTCCCAGGAGGAGGAGGAGGAGGGGGACCAGGAGGAGGAGGAGGAGGGACGAGTTGATTCCCGAATTGATTCCCCGCCGAGAGAAGCAAGGGAGGCGTACAAAACTAAAGACCTCCCTCGGAGCACGCCCGCGCGCTAGTGAGCGCAGAGGCGCATTTTGGTGGCTCCGAGTGTATATCACAGACCAGCCTACCTCAACTGGGGTTGCAAAGGGCGCGTTCGACGCGCCGCCTGATGCGAGGGAGCTTTGTCATCGCGTGCCGGTTTCCTGCACGTGGCGTGTACTTCCCCGCGAATTTGCGAGGCGTCACGCATGAATTGGCTGCAGCGGGGACAGGTCCCTGGTTTCTCGAAGATCTGGAGGGAGTTGGCGGAGAGGGACAGTCTGGCCCACCGCAGACACTCCACCAGCACACAGACCAGCCACGCTGCTCCCCCCGAGCCCGCTGCACATGACTGCGGCCTGTCAGCTTGCTGACTGTCCGAGGCGCCGTCTGTCAGCTCGAGGAGAAGCACGAGGCAATGCGGCAAAACTCTTGTGGCCCCATCCCTGCCTGCCCAAACGAACATGATGCCCACGCGTTTGTTTCAACCGCACCAACCCAATGACGTGTATGTCAGAGCCGTGGCGAAGGAATGTGCCGCTCGTGAGATTGCAATTATTCACGCACAGTTGCAACACATCAGGCGTAGAAGCACAAGTGGTCACGAGCGCGGGTGGGAAAAACCAGGAAGAACTATGCAATAACACTTGCGCTTGTTCGACGAATTGTGCGGGCAATTGTTGACGCGAATTCCCAGGCGTGCGCCTGCAACGGCACAGGCGAGGTGATGTATGTTGCACTCAACGGCTCTGGCGGTTTTTGATGGGACGGCTCAGGCAGCGAATGACTCAAGGCTTTAGATTGTTGGCGATTCATCCCAAGAGGCGAATATGCTATAAATATACGTGTTCCTACTTTGTTGCTCGCGAGCAACGCAGGCAGCTGCGCGCCGTCCAAACAAATCGAAATGCGAAAGTCAGGCACAGCGCAGTTGACGCCGGCGACGCGCGGGAAAATATACAGGCGAAGCACAGAGGCAACGCGGCAGAGGCAGGAGCGAGCGAAGACAACAGAGGAAAAAGGCGAAAGAGGAGCAAGAGGGCTATACGTTTTCCTACGGGAACGGGACGGATTTTGCTTCGCGCGGCCTTCAGCAAGAGCGAAGCCTTGGGAACGGGGCCCGCCCCGCGCAGGGCCACTTGGCAGGTCGGACACGCTGTGCGGCATCTGGGGATTTCTCTTGGAGGCTTTGCTTCGTTCATCCATACATACATACAGACAGACAGACAGACATACATGCATAGTTACTTATTTACTTACATGCATACATCTCAACGATGCAATTGTGACGCCACAGAGCTAACACTGATACAGGGCACACGAGTGAAACTGAAGCGTCCAGCCACATAGACGGGACGCCATGCGAGCGATGGTTCATCTGACCTGTCATTGATAGCTGACTTACAGTGTCACTGAAACGCAAACGTAATTACTCAAACTTGAGCCGCATAGCCACTTCCCCGCGATTGAAATGAGGCACAGCATATGAAGGAGCCAGACAATGTCTGAATGCAATATTATCGCCCGTGATGCCAAACACCTGGCCAAACACAAACATGTCTCATATAACGCCCGTTACACCGTGTACTACTTCAAACGAGTGGACCGTGCAAGTGCACCAGCACAGGGGAAAACAAAACAAATATTACGGACCATGTCCTCGAAGTTGCACGACCTGCAACATCCGAACAGTTTGGTCCTCGCGAAGGTGCTTTTGTCCTCGCTTGTCGCTCTTCCTCGCAAAGGTGCACGGGAGTGTGTGGCATGCAGATGAAATGTCTCTCCATTCGTCCACCTCCTCGTTCCCTCCCGCCTGGGACTTAGGCCTGGGCCTCCCCTCGCTGGGAAGAGTCACGGACACGGACACGGACTGCGCCTTGCACCGCGGGGGTGCTGCAGGATCGGGTCGCAGCTCCTTGAAACGCACCGGAGTGTGAAATCGACGTGAAACGGTGCCAAAGCCAGAGAACAGCCCCTGGGCCCTCGGGGTGCCAGAGCCTCCCCTCAAGACGGCGCGCAGCCTACTGGAACGCCGAGTCCGACCCCTCGCCCCCGCAGCGCGAGGCCCGCCGAGAGCCCGCCGCCAAGGGCGCCGAGGAGGAGCCCGCGCCCGTGGCTCCCGAGACCTGGGCCTTGATGATCCTCGCCTCTCGGCGCTGCTCCCGGCGGCGCCTCGTCTTCGAAATTCGCACGAACGCCTCGCCCGCGGCCTCGCCCGCGGCCTCCTGCCGCTCCGCCGGCCCGGCGCCTGCGGCGCCGGCGCCCGCCGCGCCGGACGGCCCCGCCGGGCCGGGGCCGCGGGCCTGACCCGCGGGGAGCCGCGCGCGCGCGGCCGCGGCGGCCGGGGAGCCCCCCGCGGCGGCGAGGTCGGGTGCGCTGCTGCGGACTCGCCTCGCCGAGGCGGCGTGCCAGCGGCCCCGGAGGGCACCCGCGGGCGGCTCGCGGGGCGCCGCGTCGACGTCCGCAGGCGCAGTGGAGGTGTCGGCGGAGGCACCGGGGTCGGAGCTGTGCCGCGCAGGCAGCTCCACGGAGTCCGTCCAGGGGGCCGGGCAGTGCAGGAACGTGTTCCTCGTGGTCAACAGCCTGCCATGGTGTTCCATGCGCGGCCCGCCTCCCTGGCGGCAGGCGCCGGCCGTCGGCAGAAGTGCGTCGCTGCTGTTGACCTCGGGGGGGCCCTCGCCGAGCTCTGGGACTGGGAAGAGCAGGCCCTGGGCCAGAGCGGCCTGAGCCGAAACGGCTTGAGCCAAAATGGATACGGACAAGGGGGAACAAAAAATGATAAATAACGCGCCACCGTGGGGAGTCCATCCGCGCGTCACCGTTTCAGAATACAATGTGTTCGGACGAAGGCGCAAGAGCGACGTATTGACGGGCCCCCAAAGGCACACCCGACGCTCCAATGCGTTCGATGCGTGGCAAATGTAGGTTTGGATAATTTCCCTAGGGCCGACTCTTCCTCCCGAGTCGTTCGTTGACGGTCCTGGGGCCCGTTGGGGGCCCCCGGCACCGGAAAATCGCAATAACAAACAAAACAGATAAGCAAACACACAAACACACTGAACAACAGCCGCCCAGAATTTAGCTGGAGCCTCGGATCTCTGCATTTCGATGACAATGCTCCCGGGGCCCCGCTGGCGCCAGGTAGGCGCCGACATCCCGTCAGCCCAGGCTGCGCCCCGAGCCCAAGAGGCGGCGACGAGGACCCCCCCAAGCCCGGATCAGCGGAGGGCGAACAGGTGGGGGGGGGGGGGGGGGGGCGCCCCCCAAGCCCCAGGAGAGAATCCACACCTCATGGGGCCAAGCGTGAATCAATCACCCTGTGACGCACCCAACCAATTTACGCTCAGTGGCACGTGGAGATGGCCCAAACTTGCCAGGACAACGACGGCGCAGGCGCCGTTGCACGTCGCGCAAGCTACGCGGAACGCGCGCACGCGGCATCATTCACTGAGTCTTGGGCAGGACAGTGACCTGATCGTGGCGGCCGCCTCCGGATGGTCCTCACCGCATCATTGGGGCGCGCAAACATGGATTAGCGATCCATGGATTTGGCGCGCGGTCGCCAGATCCATGGATCTGGGGAAATGCCCTGCCGAAAATGCGGCCAGTGGTGCATCGCTCGGCGGCGCAAAGCCGGGATCCCCCATGGAAACGGGACCCGTCGCTAACCCGCGCCCCCTTGATCCACGTTTGCGATCGCTTGAGGCGAGGACCATCCCCAGCGAGATCGGCATCGACAGCGACCAGGACGCGACCAAGACCATCCCAGGAGGATCGGCCCCGACAGCGGCGGAAGGGGCACCGCCCGTCTGGCAAGGGCGGCTCGAAAGCTCGCTCACACGAAGGCGGGCGGCGGCTGCGGCTTCAGCGTCGGCGCCGCCGACGGAGCACTGGCAACAGACGTGAACGCGGCGGCCGAAGTAGCAGCATCTCCCCCTCCCCCCCCCCTCCCTCTCCCCCTTCCCCCTCCTCCTCCTCCTCCTCCTCCTCCTCCTCCTCCTCCTCCCCCCCTCCTCCCCCTCCTCCTCCTCCCTCCTCCTCCTCCTCCTGCTCCTCCTCCTCCTCCTCCCTCCTGACTCCTCCCTCCTCCCTCCTCCCTTCTCCCTCCTCCCTCCTCCCTCCTCCCTCCTCCCTCCCCCCTCCCTTTATCTCCCTCCTACCTCCTCCCTCCTCCCTCCCCCCTCCTCCCTCCTCTTTTTTCCCTTTTTTTCCACGGCAATGTCTCAGGAATGATCTGAACCTGGCAGAGCGAGACACCCCTGGCAGGTTTAAACGGGGCTCAGTCCGAATCGCTCGAAAACCGAGACTGGACACCAAACAGAGGGGCCTCGTCATCTTCGCGAGCGAGCCCCCTTCTGACCTCCTGAAGTTCGCTCCTGGAGGGCCCCGAAAAATTGAAACGCGCAGCCTCATCCTCCTCCTCCCACCCCTCCGAAGCAGCGAGGGCCCCGCCTGGTGGGGCGCGCTGCGCAGGCCGGCCTCCAGCGGCAGGGGCCTGACCTGACCCCGCCCCTGAGAGGGGGACGAGAGCGGGAGGGGGGGGAGGGGAGGCTCGCAAGGGAGAGAGGAAGAGGTGAGCCGACCGAGCGACGCCGAGACAGGTAACGAACAGCCAGTCTCTACCACCACGTGTGGTTTGTCTGGATGGCTGCCCTTCTGGATCCTTCTCCAGTTCTTGTGACCTGTGACCGTCGGCGGCTGACACACCTGGCCCAGCTTCTTAACCTGGGCCCCAGAACTGTAACTCCTGCAGCGCAGGCAGGTGAACAAAAATGAATCATCGGAGCAGGCCAGAGCAATGACTTTATGCCCCAACCTGTCCAATACAGCAGAATCGAGCCTGGAGTGGCCCCTGCACCCCCCTGGCTCAGGCAGGCGCTTAGAGAGAGACCCTAGGAGGCAAACTCTGCACCTCCAGACCGAACTGATGAGTTCCCACTGGCGCTGCAGCCGATGCACGGCAGAGGCAGGAGGACGAGGAACACGCCCACCCCAAGGAACTCCACACGAGGCCAAAGGGGGAGGAGGGCAGCACCAAGGGACATCACCGTCTTAGACACCTTAATTTTCCAGTCGGGCTCCTGAGACAGACTGGGATCAAAGGCGGGGTGTCGGGCGACTGCGCGCTTGGCTCCAGCATCTGCTAGCTCGTTGCCCTTCCTCAAAAATCTTTCATCCGCAGAGAGGTCAGGGGCATCTGGATCGAGGTGGGCATCGACTTTGGCCAGAGAGCGCAGCTCCCCTTGCCCCAAAGACAAGCCTTGCAACATAAGCCCAGAATAAACCCTCTTGGGAGACTTGCACACATCGAGGCCTAGGGAGTACTGATTGGCGACGTTAGCACAGTCACTGTAAGCATCAGCCTGGCCCCCTACACACACGCCAATGCCACAAAAGGCGGAATTTTCAGAAGCCTGGGGCGACTGCGCGTAGGGGGGCCAAACTGGGGCAGAAACTTCACAGACTAGATTGGCCTCGGGGCCCACCATGGCAACACGCCAAGCGCTCCTGCAGAGTTCAGAAACAGGGTGGCGGATGCACGAGCCATCTATAAACAAGGACCCCCAGACCCCTAAGTCAGGAGAGGTAGGCGTGGGACCCAGGGACCCAGGGATAGTGACCTCAGGGACCATCCAGTTGACCAAGACTTCTCCATTGCTCTCGGACCGTGGGAAGTAATCGCCAGGGTGCCGAAAGGCTCCATATATCCAGAGAGTGGCCTCGTACCCCTCCGCTTCAGTGTCGAGGGCACTGGCAATAATCTCAGCATCAGCAATTTCTTCACGCACAGAAGAGCACGAAGGGCACTCCCAAAGACGGTGCCACAATGTGTCAACATCGGAGTGGCACAGCTGGCAGATGTCGCTAATATGGTAGCCAGCTAGCTTCGCAGAGCTGGCGGTCCACATAGCATCACAGGCCAAGGCTCGCATCGTCGATCGGTCCGTAGGGCTGGCGCGGTTGGACCTGATTCTGGATTTGACAATGTCCCAGCAGAGCCTGTGCTCAACCCCCAGCTTCTCTCCCGAAGACCGTCCGAGCCCCCTCGACACGGCAGCCCGACACAAAGCCCCCACAAGGCGGGGGGACAGCAACAGGAGCTGGAGGGTCTCACCCAAGTCAATGATGATGGTGCAGAAGTCGGTCAGCTGCCACCCAACTCGATATAAGGACATCCCGATGGCCGAGACAGGACACTTCACCTTGGCCCAGGACCAGTCATCCCTGCTGAAAGTGACTTCCCAGGCCGAGCGCATCGCAGCAAAAGGCAGGGCCCCATCAAAAGCTTTAGTCTGCACAAGCCACAGCTCTTTGCACCAACGAATGATAGGGGCCACACTCGCCCTCCAAGGGGGGGCCCCTTCAAGGAGCGAGAGGGCGGTGAGGGAACGGTGCTGAGACTTGGGAGAGATAGTGGCCATGCCCTTGCCCCTGAGCGAGTGGAGCTCACGGTCCGAAACGCCCCAGATTTTAGACCCAGAGGTGACGCCCGCCAGCGGGCCCGACGCAAAAATCCTGACAGCGGACCTGCCCATAATGCTTTTGTGTTTGTCGGGGCGCCTGCACTGACGGAAAAACTTGGCCTGGCGGGCCTTAAGTTTGGCTGATTTACCTTTTTTGGAGCCTGGGGTAGTGGTGCGCAGTGAGCGGCCTGCCGCGTAGTCAGTACCCAAGTTAACCACCGAGGCCGAGGGCTTGCCGCACAACTCCCCCAGTCGCTCCTCGAGCTGAATTGCTATTGACTTGTGGCTGCACACGCAGCCCACTTTGTCAAGCGCCAGCCTGCAACCGAGCTCCTGGGTGACAGCCTTGTGTAAGCTGACCGAGGAAGAAACTAGTGCCTCCACGACTTCGGGGACCGTGCTCGTGTGCGAGAGGCACGCGTCATCAATGTAGGCGTCGAAATCAGTGCCACTAGCCAGAACATTGCACAGCTCATCGAAGGCCTTAAGGGCGAAAACACGGATGAACGACGTGGCCATCGAGCACCCAGCTACGACCCCAGAGCTGACCCAGCACGGCCCCTCGATGACGCCCCCAAGGCTGAGAAACCTGCACGAGCGATAGGCCGCCATGGCAACTCTGGTGATCACAACAGGAAAGTCGAGGCAGTGGCACTGATCCTCGAGAAAATCGAGGGAGATGCTCTCGTAGTACTTCTGAAGGTCCTCGAAAACTGACCCTGAAGTGAGGCCCTTGGTGACACCCGCTTCGGCCTTGAAGCTCTGCCTCCAGACAACATCAGTGGCACCCCTGTTGGCTCCAGCAGCTCAATAGGGCCTCGCGAACTTCTTTTCCCAATCGAGAGCAAAAGGCCTCCTGGCAGGGCCCCATAGCCGATACCACGAAACGAAAACCCCGATGGGCCTGAAGCCCCCAACCGGTTTGGGCAAGAGGGCCAAAAGCACAACCATTAACTGATTAGGAAGCCTCCCCGTGGCTTCAAAGACGTACAGGAGCCCAGAGAGGGCAACGAGGGCGGCATCACACAAAACCGAATAATGCCGAAGGTGGAAACCGTCAACCGAAACCGCACTCTGTTCACGGTAGGTCTTGCAGACCTGGCGGATCTCATCTGGGGAAAGGCGGGGCAGGGGGGTGACCAACCGAACAGGGCCCACAGGGGGCCCACTCCCCTCCCCCCACCACGCCTGAAAGCGCTTCCCTTCGTCAGGCAGAAGGGCTCTGGGGTCCGCCACAATTTGCCCGTTCGCCGCAATGGTGACCGAGGGAACCCAAGGGGTGGGGTCTCTAAGAACGCGATGGGCCCGCCCGCCCCCTTTGTCCAAACCTTCTTGGGGCCATTCTCGCCAGCGGCGCTTGTTAGCCTTAGCAAAGTCCTTAGCGGCCTCCTCGAGGCATGGCGCGAGAGATGCGAGCAGCTGGCCAACATCAGCCACAAAATCCGAGAT